TCCTGCAGAAACGAAATAGCGTTAAAGTTATAAATGCTTCATAGATCTTAATTATTACTCACCTTTTCATAGACGATACGCGGATCAACGGGAATAGTCTGCATGGTGTTCGGATTATACGGCTCCCCGAAGAGCAGGAAACGCACAGCGATGCCTGGCTGGTGGCAACCGGCGCAATTCTTCTGGGTGAGATTGTTTTGTTCCCATTCGGAGAACACATGGCACTTGGGCCAAGTCTCAATGGAGGAGATTGTACTCCGCGTCCAAGGAGTGATGGCCAGCAGCTTGCGCTTGCAATTTTCCATGATATTGTCTACCACACGAACACTGCCCAAAAAGTAGTCGTCTACGGATGATGAGTTGATAGTAAGTGAGTGAGTGAGAATAAATACTAAGCAGTTTCGAATAGTTTACCCTTTTCCCGCGTTATTTCTGAGAAGAAGCTGGGATCGAGGGCCTGAGAGATCATAGTCTGAATATAGATCTCAAAATTATCCCTGTACGACAGATAGTCCTCCATGATCTTCTCAATAAACTGTTCGGTATCGTCGGCCAGCAGCTCTGATCGCATGAACTCGACAATTGTCTCGGTGTGTGAATGCAGTTGAATGCGCACCGGTGCTTTGAGGTAGAGTTTCTTCGTTTCGAGATTCCAAGAGGCGTACTGCAATCAAAAATGAGTGATTAAAATATATACCCATGGTGGAGGCCAAACCCTTGACAAACCTTTGACATGTTACGATAGAAGGTCTTTCCGTTTTGTCGGAAAGGCTCGTACTTTTGCAAAATGCACTTTGAGTCCACCTGCCAAATGGTGGGCCAATCGTTCACGAGATCCGATCGCAAAACTATAAAGTCGCCCGTCTAAAATTTGACCAGCAAAAGTGTTAGGAGTTAGGCTTCAACGTAAAAAGTATACTTATATCAACCTACTTTAAAGTTCTCCGAGTTGGCAGCTGCGCCCGAGGACGCGCTGGCATATCCCACATCAGCCACTCCGGACATATTCTGTTGCGAATTATAGCTTGGTTCGCCACTCGCCATTTGTTGCACATGTTGCTGCTGCTGGTGATGTTGCTGGTTGACCTGCATCTGCTGCAGTTGCTGGTGGTGTTGCTGCTGCTGTTGTTGTGTTTGTTGCAGGTCTGAGGAATGGTCATAGGTGCTCTTGCGCGGAGTGCCCTTCGACCGGCGAGCCAACTTTCGTTTCCCATAGCCCTTTCCATCATCGCTCTGCGTGTGGGGGGAGTGATAAGCAGGTTGTGAGACAGTGGTTTTCGAGGCCGGAGGCGAAAAACTTACGTCTTCCTCCTGCGGAGTCCAAACAGGATCCGTGTCCGAGTCGGTGAACTCATCCGGCTCGCCAACTACTCCACCATCGCCGGCGACAGAACTGGAATTCATGAGCATGGCATGCATGCTGCTCTGCTTGGCCTTGCGGGAGCATTGCTCCCTTCGCGGCGGCACACTCAAGGGGTCTGTGGAGAGCACAAAAGTGGGTTAGCAACATTGAACTGGACGTGGGGAGTCCCCAGGTGGCACGAACGGAACGGGACGAGATCCACAACAACAACATCAACTACAACAAACTAACACACCAGCAACACCATCTCCCACGGCCATGGAACACCAGCACCAGCACCTGGATCGGAATCTCCAGCGGATTCTGATCCGTCTTACAAGTACAAATAATAAAAATACACGGTTTATTTGGGTTTTTGAAAATTAATAATATTTGTTCTTCTCGATTTCATCTCAAAAATACTTTATACTTTTGTTCATGGGATTCTCCTTTTGTATGTTTTTTCTTTTTTTTGTTTGCTCTTTTAACAATTTAAAAGATAGCGTTTTCCTTGTTTTTTTTTTTGTTTTTGATGTCATTATGGTTGTTTTTTACATATACACACCGTCCAAGGGTCTAGTGGTCGGTTGTCTGTCTGGCTGTCTGTCCGTGTGGTGTGGGTGGTGGTGGTGCTGCGTGGGTGGGTGGTGCGGCTGCTACTGGCAGCCGCTAGTGCTGCCAAGGCCACAGCAGGTTTATAAAGTGATGAGGATTCGGCGCTGGTGCTGGCGTCGGCGTTGTTGAGTTCGAATTCGCAGTTGCATTCGCGCTGGCTGGCGTGTGGTGGTGATTGTTGTTGTTGTTGTAGTTGTTGCATGGCGTGGAAGTAGCGATAGTGGAGTGCTTATTGGTACTATGCTGTTGGTCAAGTAACATACCTTGACCCGCTCCAGCTGTCAGTTGGGCGCAATGCTGCTGCACAAAGTGCTGTCCGCTCATCGATTGCTGCTGTTGCGCCTGCTGTTGCTGCTGGGCGTATGGCCGGAAGGAGGTTTGATCCCCGGGCTGCTGGATCACCGACGACGAAGGTGCCGACTCCGCCGCGGCTGCAGCAGCCACCATTTGGGCGTGCGGACGCTTTTTGGGGAGTATTTGCGTCTGCGAGAGTATTTTGATACGATGCCCATCATCGCCGACGAGTCCTGCTATTCCATCAACTGCCTGGACGGCATCCCCCACTGACTGTGTGGCCTGTGAGGTTGTGGGCTCATCACCGCTTCCAGAACCTTTGCCTTTCCGCTTGTACGGAGCTCGTGGGTAATTTAACTTCCGCGATGGCTTCACTACAGGCGGCGGATCGTCGTCCCGCTCGCCCTGCAGAAACTTCAGATAGCTGTCCATAAACTGAGTCTTCTTCTCCCCAATCAGCGTGCCCACGCTCACAGGCTTGGGAGCAACAGGACTGTACGCCGTTGATGCACTGGGTCCGGTGCTTGAAGGCGTCGCGGGCGGCACCGCTGAATGACCATGCCCATTATTGGATGCATGCGAGTTGGGTGGGCAGTTCGATGGCTCCGGGGAGGGAGTCTTGTTCGGATTACGTATGCCAAAGTTTGTGTTATTCGTGGAGGAGTTGGTGCCGCGACCGTTGCTGGACAGGGAGTTGGCATAGCCCTGTTTCGGTGTGGCTGTGGCATCAGCCAAAAAGTCCAGTTCCTCTTCGATGTTAGGCACGATGACCTTGTTGCTGGCCGCTGCTGCTGCCGCCGCCGCTGCAGCCGCGTTCGCCTCCTCCTCTTGCTGTTGAGTGGCTTCGCTCTTCTCCTGGCGTTGCTGCTGCGCCTGCTGCTGCTGTTGCTGTGTGTAGGCTTGCTGGTGTTGTTGCTGCGTATAGGCCGCCTGCTGTTGCTGCTGTTGTTGTTGCTGCTGCTGTTGCTGTTGCTGCATGCAGGCAGTGTACTGGGAGGCAATCGGCTGGGGGAAGGCTGGATAGTATTGGGCCAACTGGGTCAAGTGTGACTGGGCCTGCGAGGACTGCAGGTGTGCAGGCTGTGGCAAGTGTTGCTGCTGTTGTTGCTGCGCTTGCTGCTGCTGGTGTTGCTGCTGTTGGCTCTGCTGAGGATATGTGGGTATGTTGATTGTGGCCGCTGGCGAAACGGACGCCGCATTGTTTTCCGTCTTCAGCGGTGAATTCCACTTGCTATTGAAGTCGTAGTACGTGTTCTGTTGCTGCTGTTGCTGATTGTGCTGCTGTTGTTGCTGCTGTTGCTGCTGCAACTGATGATGCTGCGGCTCCTGGGGACTGCGCACATTGCCGTAGTCGCTGCTACTGGGGATGAGCGTTTTCTTCGGCTGGCGCTTGCGTGGAGTCTTCGCTGGTTTAGGCGGCGGCTTCACCTCCTCCTGTAAGCAAGTGTGGAAAGAATGAGGATTAGAATACTCAGCATCACCACAGATTATAAGCAAACAGCACTATCAATAGCTTGGACATTGGGACATTAGAAACGGTTGGTAAACGTGTACACTGGCTGATAAAAGGAACAGGCTGCTCCCAGAGCATTTTATGGGGTCTTTAAGACTTGGCTGCGAGCGGCAAACGCGGTTGGTGCTTGGGTTTACCCCCATTAAGATTGGATCATACCATTATAACATAACGTCACAGTTCAAAGTGGCCACAGGACTTTAAATTAGATAATTAGTTAGCAGTATTTGAAGCAATTTTTGTTAGATTAAACAGAACAATTTCAAATAAAGCTTATAACAAAAGGCCAAAGGAATAGCTTCCACCATTATACAAGAAATAATCGAAGGGGCATGCATATTTTTACAAAAACATAAGCTACAGAGGAAAACATTTTTTGTAAGCTTTACATATATTCGAAAACAAGAAAGCCCAATTAATACTTCTATTGAATTAGTCTTCATATTCTTGATTTAGATAAATATTTGGAATTTTGTATTTATACACATGTGCTTTTTATTTAAGCTACCAGTAGTCTGTCAAGTTACGTGTTGTCAATTAAAATTTATTTGTATTCATTAATGAGCAACAAACATACATTTAAACCAATCAAAAAGAAAAAGCGTAGACCGGCTTGTAGACCGTGAACTGAATAAGATATTTTCCAAACTAGTATAGTTAAGTTGGTAGAGGATTTAAAGAAATAGCATTAAAAGCAAATAAAACCAAATAAAGGCAGAACACAAACAAATTAAACAAATAGAAACGGAAATAAAAAAAATGACATACAAACCTTTGGCACTACTTGAATCTGTGACGCTAAGTTGCCCGCCGACGGCGACATGATCATGTTGGCTACCACGTGCTGGCGCCGACCGGAGGACTGGGATTGGTTGTGATTGTGCTCCTGCAGCTGCAGTTGCTCCCCATCGACCACGCCCGCGGGATAGAAGGTTTGTTTGATCTCCAGCCCGGGCGGCAGGTTGAACACTAGATTTTCGCCACCACCGCCGGCGTCCACTGAGGATGCCTCACTGGCAAAATCAAGTTGTCGCTGTTCCTGTTTCACCTGCAGCTGCAGGACGTTCTTTATGTCTTCCTGCCCCGCTCCATCGTCCTCCAGCTTCGTCCAGCAGAGGTTCTGCTGCTGCTGTTGCTGCTGCTGCAGGGTGCTTTGTATCACAGATGAGTAGGCCACCGTGGTGGGTGTGGCAGCAGCAGACGATCCAGCGCCAGCTTCTTGCCGCCTTTGCACAGGGGACGCCGTCTTGTAGACAATCACCTGGGCCTGCGGTGTGCTGACCACGTCCACCGCATGTAAATTCGTGATGGGCGATCCATCTGCGGAGCTCAGCGCCGGACTGGCATATTGCGCCGGATAGGATCCCGCCGGAACTGGCACTGCCAGCGGCACCGGACTGGCATCCTGTTGGTCTACTAACGTTGCCCGATACGGCTGGCCATCCTTCCGCGTCACCTTGACCTTCCGGCCATCAATGGTGTAATAGGTGTCCGGTTCCGTGTCTGCATCGGCGATTTCCTGTTGCAGTTGCTGCTGGAGCTGCTGCTGCTGCTGCTGCGCCGCTGCCTGTTGTTGCTGCTGCTGCTGCTGTTGCAGTTGGATCAGGTAAATCGAGTCGTTGTAGGCTTTTAATTGCTTTTCCTGCTTAATCTGCTACAGCGCACCGTACATAGATTGAATCGGAAAGTGTTTGGTTTGGGATTGATTCGACATAGAGAGGCTAGACTTAGTCTATGCTTTGATGGGTTGATTGGGAGGGATGTTATGTTAGTATGCGATAAATGCGATAGAGCCTGCGGGGTTTTTAATAAGTATGTGTGCTTCCCCAGAAGCTAGTTTACTGATAGCAGAGTGATCTGAAAGCCGAACGTAAAACAAACGAATCCTACTCACCACTTTATCAGCCACCAGATTGAGCTGTTGCTGTTGCGCCTGCTGCTGTTGCTGTTGGGCCTGTTGCTGTTGCTGCTGCGCCTGTTGCTGTTGCTGCTGCGCCTGCTGCTGTTGCATGGCAAGGAAGGTGTTCGATATCATGTTCGGAGTGTTCCAGGTCAGCGACGTCGACGTCAGAGCCACCGTTGTGGGCGATGGTGAGGCTCCACTCGACGAGGAGTTCTCCCCGTAGTAGTTTGAGGCCACATTGTTGACCACAGCAGCCGCTGCCGCCGACACGGCCGCCTGGTTCTGAAACGAACTGAGCTGCTTGTCCAGCGAACTGGGCAGCTGCAGCTGCCGGTGCGGCGTGCTCACCGCAGACGAGGCATAGTGGGCGGGCTTCGGCTGGACACTGGCCGCCGCCGCATGGTGGTAGATCTGCTGGAATACTGGGTTGTAGCTGCCAATCGGTGACGGAGGCACAAAGCTGCCACCACTGGCGGCCGCCGCATTGAAGCTGGCGATGCTGGCAGCCGTAATGGTGGCCAGGTGTGGATGCTGGAAGTCCTCTGCTGTTCCGCCGGAGCTTCCGGCACTGGCGGGCACGATGCGGTTGTAGGCGTACGACCAGGGACTGGAGTTGGGATCCATGGTTGGCTTGGGATCTTCTACTGCTGATGGCTGGTAACTGAAATAAATAAAAAAGCGTTAGTGGATTTGGAAAACAGTTTTTGGCTAGCTTATATTAAGGATTAACTAGTTAGTGCTCATTATTGTTCGGATACATTTTCAATGGTCATATGATAAGGTCTCGCCCATATTCATCAATTGAGCGGTAGCTTAGATTAGATCTCTCTAAATCTCTTCCAAAATGTTGTGCCTTATAAAATAACATGAGTATATTGTTATCACAAGCTGCTTGGGGAAAATGGCGCGAATCCAATTAATGTTATTTATGGATTGATACTAATTATTTTAAAATGATTATTTATATGTACTTTAATCGAAAAAAAATATTTTGTTTATCTTTTATTGTAATCAATAAACAAAAAATTTGGCAAAAACAGTGATTTTGCGAGTGAAACACTCCTGTTTTGTGGTTCCCAAACTTTTCTACACTCAAGGGCTCCCCCTTTTTTTTCATATCTTCATTTTTTTTGTATCCCTTTTGGCCACGATGCGCTTGGTTCCCCCTTCAAAAAAATTGGCGTCTGTATTTTTTGCCTTGGCGCTCGACCGCAAAAAGACCGCATTTTGGAGTTTCGGCGACAATGGGTTAATTTGGGTGCTCACTTATGACATTACAATGGCGGGGCCATCACATTGGCAGGGTTTTATGCTGTTTTTGGTAATGTTTTTCTGGCTGGGAATAGGATTTTTTCCCGTATTTTCCGCTTGTACATATATGTATCCATGCACACACACACACGCACACATACTCACACACACGGGCGTACATGCGTGCGTGTTGGAAGAGTCACTAACTTTTAGTCGTTATAGAATCGGAACTGTCGGTCTGCTCGGGCCCAGCATTATCTTCACATCGAATCGGACAGCACAACAACGCTCCAATATGCACGAGCGAATTTTATGTTTAATTAACAGCGAAACGTTCTTTTTTTTAGATTCGGTGCATAACTTTTTTGTGGATGAAACAATCTCCAAAATGGCCGCTCTGCTGCCAGTGAAAAACGAACCACTGGCTCAGGTGAATAATGCCACGGTGAACTTGTTCATCGGTTCACTAATTCGCTCGCCGAGTGTTTATTGTTTGTTTTGCCGTCGTCCTCGCACTTCGTCTTTGTTAATTTCCTCAAAACGTATCGTGGGATTTGTGTTATTTGTCGCTCAGGTTAGTCATGCAAATAATTCATTCACGTTGTGGGGAGCATTTATCAATCAAAATGTGACAAGCTACTAAATTCACATGTGCTGCTCTATAGCATTAAGTGTTGTATAATACAATTTTTGTTATTATTCGGTCATTATTCGGCTGTTCACTATTTAATAGTTAATTTTGTTGTTTATTTACATTTTATGAGCATTTCTTAAGGCACATTTGATAAGATATAAACAAATTAATCGCTACTCCGGTAAAGATTGTGTTTACTTCACTCGCGCGTTTTCTAACACTGATCATGTGAAACTAGTAAATTTTAAAAAACCATGAGAAATCAACAAAATCTCAAAATACTAAAACGAAGTTCTCTTAACCTAAATATCATGTTAATGCTACGATTTATGTAGTATATATAAGGTTTTAAATTATATAGAACAATTAAAACCACCCCCATTTATATACTTTCCAACACTTATTGTTCAGAACCACTAGACCAGAACCCCAATGGAAAATGCTGCTGATATAATTTTAAGGATCAATTGAGGAAAAATTAAGAGTTTTTACTTTCGGTTTTTAAGCTTTAATTTAAATAAACTTCAAACCATGTAATACAAAACATTTAATACATATCTTTAAATCAAAATCTGTGATATTTAAAAATGTTGAATGCGGTATGATACGGTAGTTAGTAATAGTGGTATATTGTTCTTTAAATATAATTAATTTTTATACATTTTGGCATTCATCGTAGAGAAATACAAAATAGCATTATCCTTTGTATTAACTCTGATTGTTACCCAGTACTGTTTAAGATCCAACAGTAGTCAATTTTTAATCGATTTTACCACAAATATTACCAAAGCAATAACTGATGTAAATATAAAGCATTTAAAATCCCTAAAATTCAATTTAAAACCATCGCCATGCGATATGTGTTGCCTTAGCCAGCACTGTTCCGCTGGAACCAGTTCGATAACCTGCTGTTTTATTGTTGGTTCACGTACTAATGACAGTCATTTTACGTATTCATTGCTAAAAGAAAACTGAAAAAATACATTTGCCCGAATTTCCGGTTAGTCATCCGCCCACACCGATCTTCATTTAGTCCTAACCGAATCAAAGGAGAGGTGCGTAGTGCCCAGTTGCCGAGGAATCGGAGTGAAAACCGCCAGCAGCTGGCTGCTCCTCTGCGTACGTGTAAATCTGGGTGAGACGCCCACTAAATAGCAATCACAACATTTCCAGAGAGCACATAGCCATGGACTTCGGAGACGATTTTGCTGCCAAGGAGGAGGTGGATCCGGCGGCCGAGTTCCTGGCGCGCGAACAGTCGGCTCTCGGGGATTTGGAGGCGGAGATTACGGGGGGATCTGCATCAGCTCCTCCGGTTGCATCCACAGACGAAGGCTTGGGTGAGCTCCTGGGAGGCACCGCCTCCGAGGGCGATCTGCTCTCTGCTGGCGGCCCTGGTGGCTTGGAATCCTCCACAGGCAGTTTTGAGGTCATTGGTGGCGAGTCCAATGAACCCGTGGGCATATCCGGTCCACCCCCCTCGCGGGAAGAGCCCGAAAAGATACGCAAATGGCGTGAAGAGCAGAAGCAACGACTGGAGGAGAAGGACATCGAGGAGGAGCGTAAAAAGGAGGAACTCCGACAGCAATCCAAGAAGGAGCTGGACGACTGGTTGCGTCAGATTGGCGAGTCCATATCAAAGACCAAGCTGGCGTCCCGAAATGCCGAGAAACAAGCCGCGACCCTGGAGAACGGCACCATCGAGCCAGGCACCGAATGGGAGCGCATAGCTAAGCTCTGCGACTTCAATCCCAAGGTGAACAAGGCGGGCAAGGACGTCTCCCGCATGCGATCCATCTACCTGCACCTCAAGCAGAATCCCATCCAGGTGCAGAAGGGCACCTAGGTAGTTTTAATTACGCACTCGCCTAACCACATTAAGTTGAATATGAAAATTATTATTGAAAGTATTCGCTGTATATTCCAATTTATGATACATAAAATATTATTATTGCTGCTATAACATAGCTGCAATCATCGTTTTGTCTAATGAATGCAATAAAGAATGTGCACACAGTTGTCCTGCTTTCCTCGACTATCATATACCCTTCACACAAAATAAGAAATACAAAGAAAAACGACATGAAAAAGTTAGGAAAAAGAACAAATAAAAAAAAAACAGGATATGACAACTAGAGTGTTTTTCTTTCGTTTTGTAATTCAATCAGGGTTGCACATCAAGGGACTATAATAATTTCCAGTTTTCTTGTTAATAATTATATTTATAACTCTTAAATGCATTATCAAACCAGTTTGTACAACGCATTTATTATTCTTATCTCTAGTAAAACACAATACATACAACTTATTTTCATCACATATTTGTGTTGGAAATATTAATGGGAATTATGTATGTGTATGATTCTGCATTCATTAAATTAAAGAGAAACCTACTCAGTAAGGTATATGTCATTGCAGAGCTGGGACAAAGTATGCATTATATTAATGAAATGCGTAATACGCATAGAAAAGCTAATTATAATAATGAAATGTGGATATCGGAAATCATAATTTAATTATTTCCATCGCTTAAAATTGCTTTCTACTAGTTTTGCAGAAATGGCTCAAGATCCAAAATCGCAGATGACGGAGACACTTACGAACCACAAGAGAAAGGACTATCTTCATTGGGATGACTACTTTATGGCCACCTCCCTGTTGTCCGCTAAACGCAGCAAAGACCCCGTCACCCAAGTAGGCGCCTGCATCGTAGACTCGCGGAATCGGATAGTGGCGATTGGATACAATGGGTTCCCACGAAACTGCAGTGATGACGTCTTTCCGTGGTCAAAGGCTAAAAAAAAACGCGCGCATGACTTTGATCCCCTAGAAGACAAAAAGTTGTACGTGGTCCACGCGGAGGCCAATGCAATCCTGAACAGCATTGGCATGAGTTTGACTGGAACGCGGCTATATACCACTCTGTTTCCCTGCAATGAATGTGCCAAACTCATCATACAGGTAATTAATATTATAATTATCATATTATCATCAAATTATTATTATTATATTATCAATAAACAAGAAAGAAAGCCTGCTTCAAATAAAAACAGAAATGATATATAGTCAAAAAATTAGTGTATGCCAAATTAGAAAGGGTGAAAAAATATCTAAACATTTTTCAAAAGTGTGGTGTGATAGTTTTGAGCAGTTTGTTAAAAGGGGTGTGGCCAAATTTGATTAGGTATACAGATTGAAATTGGCAAGACTACTAAGAAAACAAAAAAATTTAAACATTTTGTAGGAGTTAACGTCTATGTCTCTGGAATCTGCATGCTTAATCTCAACATTCTACTTTTTACTTAATACTTTATAAGGTCGGAAACGTTTCAGCTAGTGTAAGTGCACACGGGAAATTTCAACACTTTCTGGAATATCGGTAAAAATTGGGAAAACAAAAATAATAAAACAAAAAAAACATAAAATATTTTTAAAAGTGTGGGCGTGACAGCTTTGGCCAGATTTTGGGCGTAGGAGTTGCTTTCTTCTGATTTTTAAATACTTGTCAACGTATTAGTATACCCTTTTACTCTACGAGTAGCGGATATAATCATCATTACATCAACATTTATGTCGGCTTACCCGTTTGTATTCCAGGCGGGGATCTCTCAGGTGCTCTATTTGTCCGACAAGTATGCGGATAAGCCCACATACCGTGCATCGAAGCGAATGCTGGATGCAGTGGGCGTGGAATATAAGCGACACATTCCCCAAAAAAAAAGTATCATCATTGATTTTGACACCTACACAGAAGAAGATCCGAACGCATCCCTGGGCGAACAAACTACATCTTAGCTAAATTGACAATTTTTAAAGTGTTTAAACTAAATTTGACGTGATCCGAACGAATATGTAGACAAATGATAAAATGGAAGCAATGCTTCTACTTTGTTTAACAGTACTAATATAAATCAGTTTAACTAAAAACAAAAACGTCTTACCTTTTTATCGGAAAGTTTTCGGGATATCACCATTAATTCATACCACTCTCTTTAACGTTTGTTTAGGCTCGTAAAATTAAAATCAAAATATTGCGGAACTAATCTAGATCCCATATTCTAACCATATGGGGGAAGAAAAGTAATACATTTCGGAACGGATTACAATTTCTTTGTAGAACATAAACGTTTCAGACGCTTCTTTTAATTCGCCCGCACAGATCGTTAAAATGTTTTTAATTAGCACCCATTAAGGAAGATGGTTCACTTGCACTAATTGAGTTGGAAAACGGAAGACTGTCAGGTGAGACTCTTGGCATGCACAGGTGTCCACCGGAGACCGCTGCGCGATGAAAGTGCTGCACAAAGGTCAAAATACATGGTACTTTCTGACAAAAACCGGGAATTAAATCCTATAATTCATTCGTAAAATATTAAATTATTAATTAAACTGATCGAAAATGGAAAACAGGGTATTTTTGTAATGAAAACTACTCTGTACCACTTTATACAACCGTAATTAAAGGACCTTGCAAGTTCTATTGCTGCGCCACACATTAAATTAATTAAGTTAGCCACTTTTGAACTTTGATGTTGCGTTGGCAAAAAATTCGCATGCAGCCATTTTAAATACCGGCTGAGCAAAATGTTTATGGGATGTTTTTCAATGGCATGCCAGCACGAAGGAGCTCCCACCTGACCAACCCGCCCATTCAGGTGAGAGTGGCGTGCGGCCAACCGGCCATTAGTACTGGAATATGCAAAACACTGCGCGGAACCGGACGAGGATGCCAATAAGAACAGCGGCGAGGACACTCGACCTCCATGCACTTTTGTCTGCAGGCTGTATTGAAACGTGTCCTGCGGATTTCAATATCTGGGGACAAGCTAGCTGGAGAAGTAGTGTTTTGTTCTGCGAGTTGTGGTGGATCACAAAGAGAAAATAATAAACCACTTTGTTTTTTTGCTACAAATGAATTTACTTAACTATTTCACTAGCCAAAATCTTTCCAGCTTAATACGTTTTGACGAAGGGGAAGTCTTGGGAACAGCACGGACACGGACGACTATCTAATCCGTAACGGAAAGTAGAATTCCCAGTCCCGGAGGGATTAGTATCTGAAAGACTGTGTATCTTCATCTGGCCCGGCTTGTTTGTATTCATGAAATACGAACAAAGTTTACCAACTGCAACGGAAACTTGTGTGGCACGCACCTCAGCTAACTGAATTTGAAGTGGGACCGAACATTCCGTAATCACTAATAGCAGGTTACCCGCTATGGGCCCTAATTGCCATTAAAGTTAAAGCTCCGACAGTTGAAAACACCAAAATCGGGTCTTCATGATGACCAAGGCAGCACTAATTTTCGGGGTTTCGTGAGTTTCAGCTACAAAATCCCCTCGAGGCCGGAACCCCAAAATCACCGAGTGGCCAACGGAAGGCTTGGCGGCACTTCGAGGGACCATACACTTATACGACACCCCCTGAAGGCCGTGGAACCGACCGAATAATCAATACACAAGAAAGGAACCATAACAAAGCTCTGGGTTATGTGTAACGATATTAGAACATATCAACAGAATATCGTGTCACATGGCTTACTTGTTGGTTGTAACCCTCGACCATTTTATCTTTTTGCAATCAGGGGCCAGAAATTCTCGGCTAAATATTGAAAAAAATAAGAAAACAGGGAAATATAGTATTACGGCTGCTGTTGCTTGCAACATTTCATTACATGTAATTCTCAAGAGTTAATTATGAGTCCTGGCTTATTTTTATGGAGTAGACTTTACCTATTCTCTAAACATCATTTTAGTATTTTACATTAAAACAACTTTATCCAACATCTTTTCCTGTATTTCTGATACATTTTTATACCCGTTACTCGTAGAGTAATCTGCATTTAAATTTAGAAATTCATTATTTTTAAATTTTGTTGTAATTTTTTTGATGTTATGATGTTGTAGAAATGCAAAAACATTAAGAAAGGCTGAAGCTCTAACTCCATCACTCAACTTATATTAATCGGATTTTGAATTGGAATACCTCTAAATGTTTCTGTCGCAATAATATAAAAATCTACATATAAATTAAGAAATTAATTTTTATACCCGTGTAAAAGTCTGGCTTAATGACATTTTGTGGATTCAGAATTACTTCTCCGTTCCTAACCATTTAGCATTACTTCTCCTTTCCTAACCAACCAACACCAGCGGCACGTCTGGTTGAAGTTTTACCTGAAAGATGCATATCATAAATTCGAAATGCAAACACGAGGACGTTATCAGACTGGGCATCTTTGGATTATCATCGCTGCCGTGCTCGCTCTCTGGCCTGCACGGAAAGAAAGAATAATCATTTATTTCACAAATGGCTGTAATTCAAATACAGCTTTATTTTTCTTACATTTGTAGAATCGATATTAAATAGATATTTTTAAAGGTGTTTATTGTAGGTTTGGCATTGTTACTCATTTTGTTTTATATTTATGCTCCATATTAATTTTAATCTCTCAATTTATACTTTTTTTATTTTAAATATAATCTTAATTATACAGTTGAGCAAATTCAAAATTCGAAAACGATTTGAAGAGAGATCATCCGTGTCTTTTTTACCAGTGTAGGCGAAATGGGTGGAAGAGAGCGAAAGAGCCGCGCGCAGCCTCCGCTGCAAAATGAACGGGAATGGCAATGAAACGGGACAATCAGCTGATGCGGCCATCGCTCTTTGTTTTGCTTTCGGGCAGCATGGCGGCGAATATGGTGAGAGTGGGAGAGAGTGAGAGGACGGCGGCGCCGCCTGCAGCGGCTGAGGCTGAGGCAGCGGCAGCGACTTTGGCGGCGACTGAGGCAGCAGCGGAGGCCAAAAAGGGTTTCCGAGCTTGTGGCCTGCGTTCAGTTTGTAACGGTATTCCACGCGCCACGGACGCCCGAATAGCGAAACGTCGCGCTCCCAACGATCCGTGCCCGTACACCAGTACGTATACGTAATGCTCTCCGCACAGAACGCGCTATTTCCGAGCCAAAAGCAGCATATGCCTTTGGCGCCCCTTCCCCCGCCCTGTGTGTGCTTCTGGTTATATCTGTCACCGCGAGAATTTTGTGTGTGGCTTCATTTAATGCCTTTTGCCGCCTTCTATATGACATATACATTTGTATATGCATGCCTGTATATACATACGTATACCTTATTGTCATCGCTGTTTATCTCCCATTTGGACCGACCAATTTTCTGTGTTTGTTTACGCTCACGCCTTCGTGTTACGGCCACTTGTGCCGTCCAAGCGGAATGGTCGCATCCTTAGTGCCGACAAAACTTTCTAACCGAATGGCTTTTTACTCGCGCTCTTCAATTTAGTGCGTCGTTTTGCTAAATTACTAACAAATTCCGTGCATTAAACGGATCAGCAGAGAACTAAAATCGACCGGCGCGTTGGATGGGAAACACTCGAAAATATGCTCACATATGTACATACTCGTATGTACATATGTACGAGTATATGCCAAAGAACATGCATTTCCATACGTTCCATACACACATGTATAAGTAGTACAGCTATCAAAGGTACACCGAAAACAAAAGCTGTGTTTGTAAATTCAGATACTGCAAAATCAGCTGAAAGGAGAGTTCGTGTTTCGATGAGGCTTTTTGTCCAAAAAATATCTTAAAATACTTGGCATCTTCCAGCTACAAAACACGGCTACGAACTGAGTAATAAATAGATAAAACATTCATTATTTTTCTTCAGTCATTTTCTTTAAATTATCCACAAGATAGTTGCTACAAACTAAATATGATTTCAGAAAACAGTGTCCATTTCGCCCGTCTAAGACATATTTAGCTTTTAAACTTATGTTGCCAAGAGTCGGTCTGTTTGGAAAATAACACAAAATGAAATCGAAAGGCGATGACAGCTAGCAGACAAAGAAATAAGACAAGCAGCCAATTAATAAATAAAAACGATTCCATTACAATGCAGAGCTGTTTGCCATATGAATTAGTTATGATATTTTGCGTTTCACATGAGAAAGCGCAATATTTGCCTAGTCCACTAATCCATTTGTCAGTTCGTATGTTCATTACGTATACGACAAGTATTCAGCTAAGATCCCAGTATGTATATTTCTTCCCCATTCGGAGGTGGCAAACTTTTTGAAATTGAGGACACACAAGTGCAGTGTTTTTAAAACAAACAAGAAAAAGCAATAACAAAAGACTTAGCAGAGCGGACTGGGGGAAAATGTAAATTGAAAGCATTGGGCTACTCAAAGGTGATGAAACTTCGGGGGAATTCTTTTAGTGTCTACGAATGTTTTGTGACTTTGCACTGGCAAGCAAATTAATGAAACTAGTTTTTGCAACTTGCTTGAGCAAAATAAAAATGGCATAGCAGCAGAAAGCTGTCAATAATTAATTATGAGAGATTACCTTCAAATTACTTTTCAAAAATTAAGAACTTTATAAACATTGTTAATTGTGAAGCCACGTTCTCAATCTGCCAGATAAATTCCAGAATCTTTGAGTTACCTCCTTTTCCCAATAATTATATCCATTTATGGTGAGAGATTACCTTCAAAATACTTTTCAAAAATTAACAATTTTATAAACATAACATTGACCATTACATTCAAGTCACGTTCTCTATCTGCAAGATAAATTCTAGAATCTTTGAGTTACCTCCTCTCCCCAATTTTTAGGTCCAATTTGTATGGCAATTAAAAAAAGTGATTCTGAAAGCAACTTGAAAGCCATTTGTTATGATACAAAAATAACCCCGTAACATGGAGGTGTTCATAAAAACAAACGCACGGACACGTATGAATTGAGTGGGGGATTGGATCCGAGCTGGAATTTATTAGGTCCTCTACCTTGTGCCCACTTTCTTGCACCACATTCATAATTCGGGCAACCGGCCCACTCGGATTTGGGCCAATTGATGGCGGACGGCCGGAGGATTAGCAAAGGCCCACCTCCCAAAGGTTGTAAAAGTGCCTGAATGGGAATGAGTTTTATGTGCCTCACAGGCAACAAATCTCGATGACGTTTGGCATTTGATTTGGAGCCTTTTTTCCTTTCGCTCTTTGTTTCCTCGGGATTTACTTGCTTATATTGGTGATTTCGTTTATTTTTCCCACAGTTTGGTTGAGTTTCTTTTTATTTTTTCGCACGAATTCCCGGCGGATTTTTTTTTGGGAGCCAACACGCCAGCTGCCCTAAAATTTCTCACCACTTCCGATTAAATATTTTTTGTTATGGCTTTTCCGTTTCCGTGTCCCCAGCTTTCCACGGTCACCAAAAATTCGTAAGGAACAGCTCCTTGGAGTTCTTGTTCCTGGTGTTTTCTCAGCACGAAATGCCAATTTAGAGTCATTTAAATTGGGTAGAAAGTTGCGGTAAGATTTTCCCCACAGTCAACAATGTTGGCTCGAATTAAGTCGAGTGTACGAAAGTTTCGTTGCCAGTCGACGGAAATCGGACTAAAACCAAAAGGCAATTAACTTAAGGCTATTAGCCAAGATACATTGGGAATAACATGCATAAGTACGAATAAATTGGGAAATAATTAAAAACTTTGGGTACGGAATCTTCCTGAAATTTAAGTATTTACTTTATACCATGAATTATTACAGTATTACTTTAAATTTGCTTTATTATATGAATTAATTAATAGAGTTTAAATGTTTAAAGGAAAATTTATTTTGCTCTACTTCATTTGCAATAGGTAAATTTTCCTACTCAAACAGTTTTGAAATTTCAGGCACACCCTAATAAAAAACACGTAAGCCTATTACTTTTAATTTAGGCAATGTGAAAGGCTTGGGATTGAAGAAACTTTAACCAATACTTTCAGCCCAATTACTTCCATCAGGCCTAAAAGCAGAAGGGTATTAAGAGAACATCGGAAGGGAGCTAAACCAATCCCTCTTGATGAGTAACCGTCGTAAATGAGTTTACCCAAACAAGATAAGAAATTTAAAACTCCTAACGAAAATCGATTAAATTAAGCAGTTTAGTTTCCATCCCCCAGGAGGCAAGGTGCCGTCATTTTCACGCCTGATTTGTTAACCAAAACGACGGCATCAGGTCGGCATTCGGATACTTCTCCATGGCAATTAAGTCGCAGTGCTGGCTCACATTTTTTGGGCTGCACTTTGAGAAAAGCTGTAAACTATAAACGTTTCCCAGTTCAAGCTCGTTTACAGCTCTTGAAATATCACCTTTCCCCCGAATCATTTTCCAATTGCATGGTCATTGTGTAGAAAGAAAGGAATAACTCATCGAATTGCCTCATAAACGATGCAATCAAGCTTATACATATTTGAAATTTACTCTTGCTCAAAGTCTCAAATCGTTTTCGGTTTTATGGTAAATGTAGCGCATTTTTTGGTCCTTTTTCGAGTGTACTTGGGGTGAATAAATCATGTTTCTCACAGCTGGCTAGTAATTTTAGTCCGTATGGCTGTAGGTGTTGGCGCCCAACGCTCAATCTGCGTTAATTCCCAATTTGGTTTATAAATAAAAGAACAAATCGGTGCTTAACGATGACGAGCATCGGCATCCGAGCTGACATCATTCCAAAGTCGTTAAAACTGCCGCCTGTTAATGGGCTTCCCAATCTCCAAAGGAGATTTCGGGTAGTAAAACTGCAAAATTGAAGGCGAAACCTTTATGGGCAGCGCGTGAAGCGGCAGGTCCTTGCAGGTCCTTGCAGGTCCTTTGGATCCCTACCTGTACCATATACTACTACGTGCTCTCTTGCAAATTGACTAGCGCAACTTAATTAAAAGCGTAGGCAAACTTAATTACCTGTCGAAGAATTTGAGTGTATAAATTTCACGACTGACCTTGTGAGTTCCCCTAATTGCTCAACAATTTGTAGCGAAAATAATGAAATCAAATTAGCAACGCACTGAGAAATCGGCACTAATGCAAAGCGCTCTCGATGCTTTCAACTAATGAAACAGGATGCAGTTTTCGGTAATAAACTAATAATATATATAATAATAATATTATAACACAAAACGTTGAAACTGACAGTTATTTAAAGCTGTACTGACTCAAATGAGATTCAAACCACAATGATTTTAATATAATCCTTTTAGGGGGAAAAACACAGTTTATGAATATGCAGATGTGTATTGGTTCAATTTTGTTGATAATGAAATACATATATGAAACAATAAAAATATAAATATTCCGTTGGTCACACACTAAATTCCTTTTGGGAAAACAAAGGCCATTCGAAGTGGTTTATCTTTCGGCTCCAATATTTGGGCTTCACCCCAACCAGGAATATTGGATATTAAACAAATGGCTGTTTGCCCGTACATTTGAGCAGCCTCCGACTCCGACTTGAAACATTATCTTCAGCAAATACTAACTTAATTGCTGCCGGCTCCCTTAAGCGATGTTTGCGGATCTGAACCGAAATGCGGGCAAGTTTGCTGATTGTCACACAGGCTGACGTGCAATTTATCGTAATTGAGTCAGGCAACAATCATTTTTTGATCGCCCCACACACACGCACACGGCCTTGGGGAAAATGCTGGAAAGTGGGCGGTGGGCGGTGTCGGTGGGGGTGAAAAGCTCGATGACTTGGCAGGACCCATTACGGCCAGTGTCCGTTTCCTGCTCTTTGCCATGGGATTAATGGACAAATAACGCATTCACGTCTGTAAATGTGCTGGCGGATAATCTCATTATCTTGGAGTCTTGACCCAACACATCCGGACTTCGACTGGCCGAACGGAAGGCGGAAATTGGCCACTAGGCTGCGGTAATTGAAATAAATAGAGTTGGCCTTTGGCCTTAAAAATGGGCTGCGAATCGATCAACTTGGCCTAAAACCTTTTTCGTCACTGCCAACTGCATCCATTGGCTTATATCTTCTGGCCCTGCGGCCAAAATAATTGTTTTTGGTCAGCTTAATGGAATATATTTCAAAGTTGCCAATCCTGCTCCAATTATTATAACATCAAAACATTTTAATTTGCATTTGCTAGCTTAACTGAGTCATGTACCCACTGAAAGTTAAAATTTTAATATAGAAAGAAGGTTACAATTTTAATGCAGAAAAAACATTTACAGCTTCGTAATAAAATTAATATTTAAGTTCACAAACATTAAGAAATAATATTGAAATAAATTTGAATATTTAAATGTTGAATTGAATTTAAAGGTTCCACACGGAAATCGGTTTTCCAATTAACGACTTAGAAAATACCAAATAAGCATAATTGAATACCTTCCCATAGATTTGTGTTTTCATAGCTAACGTTTGCCAAGTTTGTAAGCGAATTTGTATACAAATGGGACTAATTGAAATGGGGAAAATGTTCCTAAGAGTTTTGAGCCAATTTACGTCAAATTTTCCAGCCCACAGCCAAAATGTATTTATTGTTTCTGGTCTTGTGCTTCGACTCGCAGCCTCCTCAAAAAAAGTGATTTATTGCGTTGGGTCTTTGCCACATTAACTTTATAAGGCACTCCAAGTGACCGAAAATCCTTAAAGAATTTAAACCATCTAAGCTGCGAGTCATTTTCAATTTAGGCAAATTTCGTTTCGATAAAAGCCTCGCCCGCTTTCCCGCTTTCCCGCTTTCCCATTTTTTCCTAACGAAATTTTCTCGCCGAAAGTGCCATTGGGACAAAGTGCAAAAAGCACAGCCACAGCATTGGTCTTTCTTTTGTATTTCATTCGAAAAGCATGTTACCTGGCGAAAGGTGAGGAGCCAATTTCCCTGTCCCACTTAAGTGTTCTCAATCTTCGAGTACAGAATGTTGTAATTGAAATTTGCATGGGCATTACAGTTCAAAGACTTGCGAACTTGGCAGCCAATCTGCAAGAAATTATTATTCAAGCGAACGCATTTCCATCTTTAATGGCACATAAAAACAAATAAAGTTTTCATGTATTTGCGCATAAATTTAATACAAACGATTGACCTTTTGCTTATATTTAAGAACTAAGACATACTGTGGGAGTCTATGATTGCTAATTTTAAATAGCTAAGCCTCGGTAAAGTAAATTCGTATCAAATATGGCATTCCGTAATTTTTTCATGGCCCGCAAAAATATTGAGGCATCTGCGAGGACTCACCGGAAAATATGGGAAAATACGGGAAAAGCGGCAAATGAAAAGTAGCCTTTGTGGCGAATAAATACCCGGCCATAGCCTAGCATTTGGCACAATGTTTCCAGCGATTAATCAATACCGCCTTTCACTGCGCCTTTATATTTAGGACTCCGCAGCGAGCGGATGGGTTCCTGGTCCTCGAGCGGCTACAGGTTAGCATTTCAATTTCACACCCGGTGGATCTGCTCTCGGTGTGCTGGGCTGTCTGTGTGGCTTTATGGCTCAATTGGTGAAAATTGGTTTGTTTGTCTGCAGCCACTCCGGAGCGCTCTCGCTTCACAGGACAAAGGACCTCCAGCAGCAACCCTTCTCGTAGCTGTGCCACTATATAGTCGTCGTGTGTCGGCTGAGCGGCTCCACTCAGCCACACCACTGCCCGCAAAGAGGATAAGCTTAAATGCTGGACACGGGTGGCCAGAGAAGCCTCCTCCGCCCGCAGGAGTCCTTTGATTCCGTGACCGACATCGGGCCTGTCTACATATGTTTCCGTGGCTCTTACTAGTAATCACCTATGCCTGCGATTTAATTTGCATATTGTTATGCTGGGTATGGATATCCATTTGGGCTGATAAAGCATCAATTTTCTTGGAGCCAGCACTTTAGGGAAGACCTACAACATCTAAATGGTGTTCTTTGGCATTTCTCGGGCTCTATAACTATATTTGTCCATAATTACTTTAAAACGCTTGCACTTAAAATACAAAAAGGGCGGAATGGCCAGGAATCCTGTGCTCCTAGTTGTTCTCTGTCATCAACCGAGAATCGCAAGTGAAATTGCTGGTTAGATACACTCATGTCCACCGCAATTGCAATATTTAAAGGCAAAAATAATAATAATTGGATGGTGGGTTGGTAAGCTTAATGTACCCACTTGATGGTTATTATTATTATGTGCCAACTGGCGACAATATTTAAATCGCGCTTAACGCATTTTTCCTCACAATTTACTTGCAGCTAAGAGCGGGCGACTTAAGACGCGGATTTGCACAATTGAAATATGAGAACGCAATCAGCAGCAGTGAAATGAATAAATTACGCGAAAATAAAATCAATTTGCATTAGGGGAACTGGAGCCGAGTGACTAGTGACTAGCCGTCAGACAACTTGGACCCCGGAAACCCCTGGAAACCCCTGAAGACCCTCCAGAACCTGAGGCCCTCCTCATACCATCTCTCATCCACCAGCTGACAGCCATCTGAAGGACGAACAAGGCGCTGGCCCATGAGCTGCCGGGCGGGCAAATTATATTACCTTGTCAGGCGAGTGACATAAGGCGGACCTCTTGGCACCACACCCGCACCCACACCCGCAACCACGCCCACTAAGCCCATGTGTGGATCGCAGTGAGGCGGCAAGTGGGCAAAGGAGGAGCCGGAGGAGGCACTGGGGTCACGTCTTGGGTAACCAAATCGCCGCCATGCTACGCAGCTGCGTGTGCCTGCGCACCGACGATGACGGGAAGCGGCGCAGCTCCTCCGTGGAAGACGCCTCCTCGTGCCGCTCGTCGGAAATAGAGCGCGTGGGCGCCAGCATGCAGACACTGGGCCCCAATGGACAGCCGCAGTCATCCGCCGCGCAGACGAGCACCAGGGCCTCCAGTCTGCTGCAGCTCTTCCAGCGGCGAGGTTGGTGCAAGCACTTCCGCAAGCCGCTCCGGGGCATGAGCGCCTCCCGGGCCGAAAAGAGTGAGTACCAGCTAATCTTGGCCAGCCGGATGGGTGAGCCTGGCTAGAAGCACTGCAATTATTGTGGGGGTAAAGGATGGGATAACTTTGAGTCATCCGAACTAGAGATCCTTAGATGCTTTGTAGATTTTTAGTCGCAAAAGTAATCAAGTCTTCTTCGCTAATTTAATTAACTACTTATAAAAGTTATCCATGCACAGATTATGTACAAGCTTACAATTATTTTGGAGTAGAATGTCGTAGAGCGCAGAAAAGTGGGCTATCTTTTCGAATCTCAAGCCTTGTTTCTCTGTGTGTACCTACAATCTTCACCCGCTAGTTTCAGTTAATGGGGATTTGCGCAAGACGGGCAATAAAACATACGATTGCTACCAGCCTAATCCAGTTACAATGGCTCTGCTCTTCTCGTGGTTCATTGGAACCCCTACACAAATGGCACCTGGAATGGTATTCAGAGATATTTTCCCCAAGGCACCAAAAATTCTGACGGAATTTGTGATGTTTCTTATCGGGTCTTCAATGGCGGCTTATATATACCCAACTCAATCGCTTAGAAGTGACATTTGTAAGCCAAAATAAAATCTAATTAGTGGCCAGAATTTCGACTTGAAATTAACGTGGGGGCATCAGTTCCGCTGAGTTTTATTCAAAAGATTTCTTATAAATAATACAGGAGCTCAAGAAGGGGAATCTTAAATAGTGCATCCCAACATGCAACATGTAAAAACATACAAAATGTAGCACTTGCCATTACCAAGTGACCGTAATACATAATAAGTGGGTTGAGCGCAACTTTATTACCATGTTTACTATGGCAATACGGTCGACT